CAGAAGAAAATATAAACACTTGAGTCTTTTCAAAACTCTGCCAATGGAAAATGTTAAGACAGAAGCCATAAGAAAGAAAGCTGAAGACAGACCACAACCATCTCTTTTTTACTGCTTTTCTCATTATTACTCCTTGGAGTGAGATTGTAATCCGAAGATTGAGTCATATAATAGACAGGATACAGAGGCAGTATGGAAATTATTTAGCTTCTAAGTGAATTGAAGAAGTCTGGATGAAAGTAATGTTTCATTAATGTAAGGACATGGAATCAAAAATGAAATAATATATTAATTGCATTTTTTTTCCTTACCATCAATGAAGCCTCCAAAGATATGGGAAGATTGCATATGTTGAAAACCTTCATGGTTTTTTATGCAATCATTGATATTTTTAAACTAATCATCAACATTTATGAGAAGGAAAAAAGCAAACAATTTCACATGAAGAAATTTCTTTCCAGAAACTTCCTCAAACTGGTCTTATAATGTAACAGCTGACTAATATCCTGTATTGGGTTTGCATGACCAGGTTTTGGTAGTTTGTGGGGCAGGCTACAGGGAAGTTGCTCTGAGTAGCTGCCGGAAGTTTCTCCATGTCTAGCTGAGACAATGCCAGGTGGCTCAAAGATGGACCTGCTGCTGGCCAAGGCTGACAGAAATGGAGGTAATGCCTCTGTGATAACACATTTAAGAAGGCAAAAAAACCAAAAAACACAAAAGGTCTGATGTAATTGTGGCCAGGAATAGCAGGTGAGAAGGTGTGAGAGGAACAGCCCTGCAGACACCAAGCTCAGTGAGGAAGGAGGAGCAGGAGCTGCTCCAGGCACCGGAGCTGAGATCCCCCTGCAGCCCCTGCTGAGCCCGAGGTGAGGCTGCTGTGGCCCTGCAGCCCAGGGAGGGCACAGGGGAGCAGAGATCCACCCACAGCCCATGGAGGAGACCTGCTCCAGGATGTCTGAGACGAGGCGGTGCCCCTGTGGGAGCCCTGTGCTGGAGCAGGCTGGGGACAGGGACCTGCAGACCCATGGAGAGAGGAGCCCAGACTGGAGCAGGTTTGGTGGTAGGACCTGTGACCCTGTGGGGAACCCAGGCTGGAACAGGCTGTGCCTGAAGGGCTGAGTCCTTAGAAGGGTGACCCACATTGCAGAAGTCTGTGGAGAACTGTTGCATGTGGGAGGGATTCACATTGGAGAAGTTAATGCAGAACTGTCTCCTCTGGGAGGAATCTCATGCTGGAGCAAGGGAAGGACTCCTCCCCCTGAGCAGCAGTAGAAACAATGGATGGTTATGAATGGAAGCAGACCATAACCCCCATTGCCTCTGCTGTTGGAGGGGAGAAGATAGAGCTGGGAAGAAGGGGGTGGTGGGAAAAGTGTTTTTGAAGGTCTTATTTTACTTCTCATTATCCTGCTCTGATTCTGCTAAGAATAAATTCAATTAATATCTCTAATTCTAATCTGTTTTGCCCATCACAGTATTTGCTGAGTGTTCTCTCTCTCTTTGCCGAGTCCTTATCTCTACTCATAAACACTTTATTACATTTTCTCTTCCCTCTCCAGTTGCAGGGGGTAATGTGAGAGACTTTGGTGGGTGTCTGGCATCCAGACAGAGTCAACCCACTGTGTATCACTACCTGAACAGGTTTGTCTGCGGTCCAGGACTCCAGAGTACTTTCCTACATCTGAAATCACAAGGATTTGAAGGTACAGACATACCATCTCTTATTCCTGGAAGCAATTTAAACTCTACTATGCACAGAAAAAGAAATCAAGCCATGACTAACATGAAGAGTAAATGCCTGAAGAGTATACGACAAACTCATAAACTGACGTTTGTTGAAGTCTCATGTTCTATTGGCAGAAATAGCTACCACATCTGCAGAAATTATTCATTGAAAGAAAACAATCATATTAAAAATGTCAACGTTTCTAAAATGCATAGTTCAACTTGTTCTGATTATTACGTAAGCCACAGTAAAAATTAATTTTCTGACAGAAATCCTAGAGAAAGCAGAGAGTGGAGCAGTTGTTCACTGGCCATAACACACCAGAGATCGTGCCTGGCTTCTCTAGAAGCAACAAGTTTAGATTACCTCCAAATATAGAATAATGGACCAGATAGTCTGTTTCAATCTGGCTTTTTCCTATGATCCTTTGTTCAGAGTGGACCAGATGTCTGCTGTTTAGTTAAGAATTAACACTGTAATTGTTTAAAAAAATATACCCAGCACACCAAGGTGTGGTACAGGTGCGCTTTAACTGCTCTGCTGTGTGTTCCTCTAATTAATGACTAGGCCTCTGGATGTTCAGCCAGGTTTCTTGTTTTGGGGATGGCTTTTTGTGTTGATTTGTTTGGATTGATTTTGGTTAGCTGCTTTTTCCTTTTTTTAAGGCTACATGCTCACTGTTTTAAAAAGAAGAGGGAGTACAAAGTGATTAAGAGCTGCTATTACTAAAGCATCAGACAAACACTTCTATGTGTTTGTGCTGGTTTTGGCTAGAGTAGAGTTAATTTTCCTCACAGTAGCTGGTATGGGGCTGTGTTTTGGGTTTGTTCTGAAATGACTGTGGATAATACAGACATGTTTTTGTGGTTGCTGAGCAGGCCTTACTCAGAGCCAAGGCCTTTTCTGCCTCTCACACCACCCCGCCAGTGAGTGGCACAAGGAGCTGGGAGAGGACACAGTCAGGACAGATGGCCAGAACTGACTCCAGGAATACTTCAGACCATATGACATCATGCTCAGGATATAAAGTGGGGAAAAAAAGAGGAAGGGGGGGACATGTGGAATGTGGGATGGAGCCCTGCTTTCCTGGAGATGGCTGAACACCTGCCCACCCATGGAAAGCAGTAAATCCATTCCTTGTTTTGATCTGCTTGTGTGTGCAGCTTCTGCTTACCCTATTAAAATGTCTTTATCTCAATATATGAATTTTCTATCTTTCACCCTTCTGATTCCCCACTGGTGGGGGAATGTGGTACTCATTTGCCAGCTGGCCTTAAACCATGGCAGAGTTGTCACACACAGGTCCATGAGAGAATTCTGCTGGTAACAGGGGACAGCTTCTGTGGTTCCAAGGTGAGTCTTTCCCAAGGAAAAAGTTAAAGAAGAAAACCTTACACAGTACAATAAGCATGTGTAGCTGTTAATAACCATTATTCATTAAACATCTGAAAAGAGGAGATCGACTCCTCAGTAAGATTGAAAAAGGTGAAAATTCCTGTGGAAGGGCAGGCACTCGGAAAAGGAAGAAAAATACTAAGTTTATGTCAATCTCATCTCAGTCATACACTCACAGTTCTCTGACAGCAGAGGAAACTTTTAACTCTCCCATGTTTAGTCTACCTTGCCTTTTTTACCTGTACTCTTGGTCATTTCAGTACAAAAACTATAAGTTGAGTGGATGTACAAAAAATAATACTTAGAAATTCCTCTTAATGCCCTGAGCTCAATTTTCATCTGATGGGCTGACCTCAAGCAGCAGATTTGTATCATTTTCTTGTCTTTTTGTCTGATGGGTTGAACAGGAAAAAAAAAAAAAATAAAGCCAAAACATTTGTACACAAAATACAGAAGAAAAATCTAAACTAATATTTTTTTTTTCTGGTACATTACAAACTGTCTTCTTCTAGGTTTTAGTTTTTAAGAACTTATTTTTAAAAGACAAAGAGAAGGGCTTTCATATACAAACTAATTTTGTGGTTCTCTTAACTTCTAAATATTTTGCTTTGCTAATCCAGTGTATTCTTAATTTACATCTAATAAACCAAAAGAGTGAAAATGTTTACTGCAATTTTTACTAATTGTTCAAATGCATATTTGATATATTATGACAACAGAAATACCACTGTAACTCAGTAGGGTACATTTTAGCTCAGTGGTGGCTAAATCTTCCCTAATTGGCATATCTGTTTTGAGAAATAAATATACTACTGTAGTAACAGAAGGAAACACAAGAAAAACAGTAACAATACAGAAGGAATTCTCTCAAAACTAAAACTGTCATCACTCTGTAATTTTTAACTCATCAGTGATTTTATGTCTTTAAAAAGGATTTTTATATACTAAATGGCTGTTGTTGTTTAATTTATGCTACTCAAAGTCTGTATTTATCACAATGAAATTAGGTTTATGCTTGAAGTTTTAAATGCCAGGCAGGAAAGTATAAGTAATACAGATCAATATATACTTTATGATCATTTAAACTTCAAACCTACATAGGCAGGTCAAAACTATATAACATGGAGCTCTTTTTCTGTCATAACAAAGTGTAATTTACATTTCTAATTCACTTTGAACATCATTCGTACTTTGCTAAAGTACGATCTCCAAAACATGATGTTACAAAAATGGAATGGTAGTTCCACACAAGTTGTTCAACACACAGTAGTATAAATAATGCAGTAATACTTTCTCACACTGAATAGATTCTTTGGTGATTAGAGGAATAACAGCAAGGCTTACCTTCTTGATAGGTATGACAGCCACATTTTATATCACTAATTCAGAATGAGATTTATAAAGATACTTTTTGATACTACCTCAATTGAAAACTCTCTCTGTTGTCAGTAAGCCCCTTCTCCTCATCCCTCCAGAATGCAGAAACAAAACCAGACCTTGAAACAACTCCCTGTAACTCCCTGCAAAGCTAATACTCCACTTCCTTTACATCTCTCTAAAGGAGAAATTATGTGTACCTTAAGAAAAATAAAATTATTAAGACTGTGATAGAGAAACTTTTATCCAAAAATTAAAGAAAACAGAGATATTGTAGGATTTTTCAGAGTTGGCTTAATTTCATGTGAACAACCTTGAGATCCTCTATAGAGAAAGCAATTTAGAGAGATATAAAGTGAAGTTGTATCTGTAGTTGCCATCACCTGACATTCAAAACCCAGTGATATTTGCAGGTCTGAAGAGATTCCTGTGATTTCTTGTGAGAGCCTTTTGCCCATGCCTCTCAAAAATGCAATATAATTTCTGTGAAAGTAGTTCTTACCTGCTACCACCTTCTGCTGAGCTCCTCTCTGAAAAGCGCCAACTCAGAATCCTTGCAGACTCCAGAATTCAGATTTGGCATCTATTTTCTTCTGCATGGGAAAAGTCTGGGCTCCTGCTGAAATCTCCATCTTGTCATCATAAAGGGATGTAGACATCACTGCTCTCTCCCCAAGTTTGAAACTGCTGGGGGCTAGGAAAGGGAAGTTCCCGTATTTCACAAAATGGAAGTTTCTTAATTTCACCTGATGAGGGACATTTTGTTTTCTTGACAATGCACCTGCCAACTGAAAAGCATTAGAAAAAAAAATTAAAAACCTAACCAACAGTTTGAAAAAAAGAACGCTTCTTTGAAAAGGTAACAATAATTGGCAGATGTGCACTAGTTAATATTTTGGTTTTTTATTCCAGTCAGAACTGATTACAGGTATGCCCCATACATCTGCTGCTGGTTCTGTATTATCCTTATGAGCTTCAATGAGTGTCTCTGGTATCTCAGTGTCAGTGAATCTCTGCTGCACCACAGCATTCTGCTGTCTTACCTGGGTTCTGAGGTCTTCTATGTAAACTGCTATAAAACACCTATGGATCAGAGCTGACTTCAGAGCTTCTCTGAGTGACAACCTAATGTCTGGTCCAATGCACAACATAAATCTGAATAATTTCTACTCTGCTTTGGGTTTGATTACTGATAAGTGGGAACATAAAATCCTGATTTGAAGGAAAGTGCATTCTAAGGAAAAAGGAGGTCATAACAGGAAAACTTGAAAAGATAAGACAGAATCTTTTAACTGAGAAGAAGAATCAATGAGTTTGAGGCACTGTACCAAAGAGTTTGTAGCATGTATGAGCTAGAAAACATTGAACTTTTTTCCCCTTAAAAAAATTTTTAAGGGAAAAGAGCAAAAATAAAAATGCAATTAAAATTTACTTCTCTCCAAATTACTCCTACTAAGAGTATGTCTTACAGAAATTGTGGTGGTTTCATTACATAAAATGTGTGACCTCAGCATATTATTTTAAAAGACTCTTATACAAAAGTCTTGGAATAACATAACCCTTTTTTCTATAACAACTTCTCAGTAATTCCTAGGGTTTGGTTCTTTGTCCAAAAACATTCCCCTCCAAGAATTAGTGTTTACTGTCTCACAGCATTTTCCCTTTTGGTCCTGAGGAAATGAGGTTTTTGCCCTGTCTGATTTTTCAATTTCATATTTCCAGTATTTAATACAGGCATTAGAAATGCCTGATGGGCTCATACCTTTGTTCTTGAAAAATGTTTAACAAGTAACTTCCAAAACAAGAAATCATGTCTAGCTTTTGCAGAAATATTACAACTACTTAATTCTGTTGCTGGAGTTGTCTGAAGGTTTTCAGTTTTGCTAACAGAAATCTTTATGTTTTTCTGTTTATACTGAATGAAGCATTGATTTGCAGATGCATTTTTAATCTGTTACTTCAAACAAACCTTTCTGCTAGAGCACAGCTTCTTTTTGCCCACTTGGACAACAGCTAAAGTCAAGCCCAAAAATTCCAGTTTAAAATTCCTTTAAACTGACATCTGTATTGGACTTGCCAGACTAGCTGTGTATCAGTAAATCTTCTAAAAGGAAAAGCAGTTAAAACAAACTTATTTCAAGTTTCAGTGGTTCTTCCTGTTGGTCACCCTCTTAATTTTTAGTGGAACCTAATATACAACATACAGCACTGAGCAAGCAGCACTGGCTCATTCTGGCAAGTGCTTTTCAGCTGAAGAATCAGAAACATTTTCACTTACCAGAAAATCCTAAGGAAACCTAGAGGAGCTGAAAGACAATATCTTTGGATCAGGGGTTCTCATTTGCACAAATGCTTGTGCCAGGACAAAATCTTTCAGATTTTGAGACTTGTTAAGACATTAATGATTACAGATTACAGAGGTTGCCAGTCCTACTTTACTTGGTCTACTTTTTTTTTTTCTGTTCTAGAGAACTCCAATATGGTGCTGCTTTGGCATATTCTTAATTCTGTGTTCTTTATTTGAATCTTTATTACTGAAAAAAAATAGCATTCATTTTGGTTTTCCTTTCATCTGGATTTTCTGGATGCTGAAGTCTTATGTCTGGATCTTTCCCAATTTATAATTATCTGAAAATAAAAAAAATAAATAAAAAATAATTAGGTTCAAGTGAATGAAATCTACTTATATAATTTATACAAAGCTGTCACTTTATTTTTGCATGAAATTGGACAATTGCAATATTATAATTTTTTAAATGATTGTTGGTGAAGAACTATGTCAGGGCCTATAGGTGCACAAGGCAGCTACAGAAATTGTGGTATATTGGTTTTGTTTGGTGTTTTTCTTGCCTGGGTTTTTTAATTAAAAAGACCCAAATCCATTCAAATTTAAGTGGGGTTATCTATCTTTGTGACAGATTTAGATAGGGGATAATTCTAAATTGGAAGTGGTATTCAAAACCCTGGGGATATCTCAAATTTTTTTTTTTTCTTTTAAATCTGGGCAGGAAAGAGATTCCATCAATAAATGGTGAAGATTTTTAAGACATCAGAACAAAATACCAGTAAATGGTCTGATTCAAAGTACAGAGGTTATTTTAAATAATTTAATCTACAAATAATTTTCATTGATGATTATAAATTTTCCTGCATAAGTAATAGTAGTGAAAATCAGGGAGACGAGTTTTTCATGGAGAAGTAAATGGACTATTTCATCTGCTGACTTGATCACTGAGATTTTGGGATACTGAAGAGACCATAGAGCTTGACAGATTCATGGAAAGGACAGCAATACCTTATTTAGCTTATTCATAGCACAGCAATCTGTGAGCAAATATAAAAACAAGCAACAGAGAATAAGCAGATTATGCCTGGAAGCATTCCAGAAAAAGATAAATCATGAAACATCACAAGTATACCTCAAGAAAAAATATTTCTCAGTCTGCAGGTGCTACAACTCAGACTTCACTCATTCACTGTACTGGATGCTTGCCCAAGCCAAGTACATGAAGCTGTTGCTGATCCTGGAATTGCAGCAGAAAACTAACTTATTCCCAAAATTTTTTCTCTCCACGGATTTGTAAAAATTAATGTCTGATATACACTGGGGAATTTTCCTTTGTGTGGTAAAGTGTGCAGACAGCCTGAAGTGGTCCATGAAGAAAATGAAGAGTTATACTTCAGATCAGATAGCATTAAGTGTCATGTAATTTCTGGAGAATAAATGACAGGGAAAATGTGCAGAAAGCCTGGGAAGGCTGACAATAGGGAAAGCAATGGTGGAAATAGTAAGACAAGTGATGCATAACCAACATCCAAGGGAATCAATGCTTCTTAAAATCCTGTACTAACTCCCTCCTCTCTGTCACAGAGCTTTGTTTCCTAAATTTGGAGCAGCATTGCTTGACACATAGCAGTAATGTAAATTACTGATACTTCTTTCTACCTGGCTGCTTGATACAGATTTTACAGAGGATGAAGCTAAAAATCTCACCAGGGAGAAATAGCTTCATTTTTTTCTGAAAAGAAACATATTCAGAACTCAGGAGCTGAATGTGAAAAAGAAATACAGCACTTCCCTGCAGGTCCCCTTTCCTATGGTTGCTATTAGCAAGGATCCACTGAGAATAAGTTGTTGAATTAGAAGCATGAATGTTCACTTAATAAGAAAACGATGGAATTTTGTTAGTAGGCAATATCTTCGTGTTGCTGCAGATACGAGAGTATGTGTCAGGGTTTCTTTATCAGCCATCTTCTAAAGGATTTAAATTTTACATGCATGATTAAACTAAAGGAAAAAGTTGCCTTGTGACAAACTTTATTCTAAAATTTCTAGTCAGGAGCTCAACAATTTGATTCTAATGGAGAAATATAAGATGCATATTAATATTCAAAACTAAATAGGAAACCAGAGCTCAGCAGGGTTTTTCCCCTCCTTCCTTCCATCTTCAGATTTTTAAATATCTAAATAATATCAGTACTAATCCAATAACCATAAAAGAATATTCAGAGCACCAAGTGACTATGTTAAGCACTAGTTTTCATGCACTAGTTAACCCTGGGGAGAATAAACTCTAAAAAACTATGAAGGAATTTGGTATAATTGGTATGCGGACATCTAAATCCTTAATAAGTGGTCATGAACAGGGATTTGGGTGTTTAAATTACAGCAAATTGCAATCAAATTTTTAATCTGTGTTTAATTACATCTTAAATATTACATCTGCAAACCCATAGTCCAAATTTAAATTGAAAATTAATATTTTCAGCAGCTTAGAACACAGAATAAGATTCACTATTCAGTACTCTAAGTATCTAGTCTAGCCAGATCTTGTAGAGAGTCTCCATTTAAAGTAATTTTAAATAATTAAGGAGGAAGTTATATGTGTGTCATACCAAGGAAAGAATTACAGTGATAACAGTGGGTTTGTAACACAGGTAAATAATGAATAAGTATCAAAAAAAGGTACACTTAGGTTATAGACAGTTCATCAGTAAACAAAAACAAAACTGCAAAATTTCAAACAGCGACAAATAAGCAGCTGAGCACTTTCTGCAAAATGGCCAGATTACAGAAGATTCACACCACAAATCTGAGAGCCTCAGGTTCCAACACAGCCTCTACTGGCTACCTATACTCTACATAAAGGACTAATCACATTTCCAGGATTTGGAATGGACTGTTGTCAAAACAGTCCAGTATCTTTTGTTTTCACTGGACTCCAGTATAGAGCTCCTAAGGACTCCCACGTGAGGGACAGGGAAGTGCTGATGATCACTGACTGGACAGAACAGTATCAAACATATCACACATCTGGAGATCATCAATGCTGTTTTGAACCAGATATCACAAGATATCAATAGTGAATCCAAATCTATACACAAATACCTGGTGTGTATAAATATATGGTGTATAATATAGAAATAGTATAATATAATAATATATAATATATAAACATGGTGTATATAAACACATGGTGTATAATATATAAATATTCTGTACATACTACAAATATATAGATATGTATTTTGTATATATTTGTGTCTATATGTATGTATTTATATATATATTTCATACATACATATATATATAATGCACACATAGGTACATTGCCTCCTCTTGAATACTTTATACACTACACATACACAGAACAAATATTGAATATCAATTCTGCAGGAGTCTGTAACATCCACAGGAAGAAGAAAATGCAGAAGACTCCGTGGGCTACAAGGAGCCATTATTTTTTTGAATAGCTTGTCATTCCTGTCATATTTTTTCCTTCAACTTTTAAGAAAGTTTGACATCACTTCAAGGAGGCTTTGAGGACAGAGAATTAGGAAGAAGATTCTTGCAAGTGTAACCTGGCAAACATAGGTTTGAAGTTGAAGAAAGGAATAGAATATTCAGTAGATGCTCCAAGTCAAGAGCAATGGAGTGGGGCTACAGAGCTGGGAAGGAAATGTTCCTTGAAGTTTTGTGTTGAATTAGCCCTGACACTGGAGGGGCAGGTCATCAACAGGAAAATAATTTAGAGATGGAAGAGCAAAACCAGCATTAATTATGACAATGGTCTAGGACTACATGCAGTCCAGGACTGGTAAGCTGATTTTGGTTTAGAAATTATCTTTAGGACATGAATAATAAGGCAGCAGGATTTTTAGATTAAGAAAATGCCTTTGGTTGGTTTAGACAGATCATCTGTCTATTTAATGCTTTATTAAAAACTTTATCCTTTTCAAGTCCTTACTGCCAATTAGTGTCAATTAACATAAATTTAATCAGCCTTCCTCTGCTCCCAGTATAATGCTGTAAAAGCAGCGTAGTTCTAGCAATTTCAATGTGATTTATACCAGCGTAAATGGGAAAAGAATGAGCCTTAATAGGTGCACATTTAAGTGCATGTTCTTAAACCACAGTTTGTAATGTGCACCAGCCCAGGTAACTAAATTCCTGTGGGGCACATTTATGATCATAAGCTAGACTTTTACTTTAAGTTAATCCAAACAATTAGGTTCTCTGGCAGAGCCTTGCAGCCAACTCTGAAGAGGTAATACTATACAGCAGCTTTAATTACGAGTAAACTAGATCACAGAATTGTATTAGTAATTCTGAACATTACTTAGCTTGGTTAAAGTATCCAATCATGTTTCATAAAATATAAGAAAAGAGAAATCAGCATGGATATTAGACTAGTGTTGGTAGCATGGCAAGCCTGACTTGAGATTTGGAAGATGAGGTGCTTACAAAACAGATAATCATAAAATCTAAAAATTTTGTACTGGAGGATTAAAATGGAAAAAAAAGAAAAGTCATTAGAAAACCTTGGTAAACATCACTTAACATGCTTTCAATACCAATATATTTGCCTCACAAAATTTAAAGCATGTGTCTAAAGAGTAAAATATATATATTTTTAACACCTAATTTAGCAAATGTCAGGTCATATAAAATTCCTTTGTCTTTTTCATGTATTCCTCAGAATATCACAAGGCCTGTATGAAATGCATCACAGAATTAGGCATCAATTAACAAAAATCTAGCCCTAAATATGCTTCATTAAATGACACCAATCTCTGAAAAAGGTACCGTAAAATACCAGAGAATGAGCAACATAAAGTCAAACATTTATATAAAAACATATAAAGTAAATGTGTCTAAAAGAAAGATAATCTATAGAAACATACAAAGAAAGAAGTGGTTGCAACAGTCCGGAATTCAAAATTAGGAACAGCAAGGACTGTACTGACCCACAACATCACAGATTTACAATCTCTGAAAAGGCATTTTCATACAGCTTTTGGGTAAATATATACGTGTCTATATATTTACACACACAATCAAACTGGCACCTGTTGAAAGACATTTAAGAATATGAACTTGCTTTCAGTATGTCCTCTTCACCCCTCATTGCAATTGCAGCAGCTGGAAACTGTATTATGATCAGGATGGTGTCAGAAAGGTTGGTGGCATGGTTAAATCAGTTTTATCCTGCCTTGGAATACTGGATTATGCTCCAAAGCCTCCTTCAAAATATGTGTGTAATGCTGGGCAAAGCAATCAAAATGAAACTTTTTTTTTTTTTTTTTCCCCTCATAGGTGTTTATAAACTGTGTGCTTGAATACACACTTTGGGGCATCTTGATACAATCTAAAAAAACAACTAAAATTGAACCCAGTGGGATGTCTGCTTTCAACATGCAAAATACAGAGTACTCTGACATCACAAATCTAGGTGCCCCATATAATGGACAAATCCTTAAAGAGCAACCATTTCCTATGTAACTCAGAATTTTTAAGTGCAGGTACAGCCATTATTATCTATGTAGCAGCTTTGTATTTTGTAAAAATTGCTAGAGAAGAGACACAAGAAAAATAAGACTCTATATCTTTGTATCCATTATTAACTAGAATGAGGCTGAATAGTAAATGAAAATGGTATATGACATAAATATCATAGGAGTATGGTATTTATATTGTTCATAAAAGTGAATGTGACCACATGTATAATGTTGGGTACTGTGAACATACAGCCAAAACAAAGACGACAGAACAAGTGTCATGCTTCTAACTTATTAATTAGGATCACTTGACATTTCAGCCTTGGCACTTCTTTATCTAATTCTGAAAGTATTAACTTCTCAATAAATTAAATCTGATTAAGCCAGAGAAAGTCTAAAATTAAAAAAATTTTTTTTTTTTTGTTTTTTGTTACCAATTTGAAGGCTCAGAGCCTCACAAACAAGAAATTATTCTTACCTTGGTAAATGGTAACAACAACAGCAACTGTCAGCAGAAGGAAAAGACAAATATTTTGTTATAGAAATTAAGTTACTTTAGCACATCAAAGAAATGTGTAGATTCGGTAATTCCTGTATTAATCCTAGGTTATGATTGAGATAAGTTTAAAGTCACTCCCATTTTTTCCTCATAAGAAAGCTGTTGGAAGTGAAGTTTTACAATAAATTCAAAAACCCCAGTTTTTTTACAGCATTCTTCCTTAATAAAATAAATAAATAATAAATAACACAATAAATTGAAGAAAATTTGATAGAAATATTCTGAAGGGTCTTTTCTTGATGGCCCAACAATTTTGCAGAAAACAAACATACTTCATATGGGGTTTCACTGAAGCCAGAGTTTAGATACTTAAAACTCATATTCTTCTTGAGGGACTAAGCTTTCCTGAGAGAATTATCTATAACAAGTAAAGCAGGAAAGTTTCAAGGGTAATTGTAACTTGTACTGGCAGTACCATTAGTCCTTGCTATAGTCACCAAATTTTACAAAAAGCTCCACTCCTATTCAAAAGCATAAATGAAAGATCCAGGTTCCAAGAATTACCTAAAATTCATCAACATTTTATGGCCGCCACACTCAAATATTTGACAGTGAGCAGCTTGGGGTGATGGAATTCTTCTGTTGGCTGCACAAACCTAAGAAGAAAATAAATTAATTTAAATTTACACAGCTGTAACAGAATAAAGAGAAACTTCCAAAGAGAGAATAAAATTAAATACAGTCTGAGACAGGTGTCTGAAGAGTGCATCAGAAAAAGGGGTTGTTTAGCAACACTAATGGGAAAATATTAGATGACTAAAAAGAGACCAGACTTGTGAAAGACCTGGCCAAGTTACAAAAGCAGTGCAGACATTCCAATGATCTCTCAGGGTCTGGCCTCACATCCTTAGATGTTGCTAAGTGATTTTCTTTTTGTGCCATTGTGATTTGAAAAGGACAAAGTATTTCAAGTAATCTCATGATTTACCAGTAGTTTAGCTTTAATCAAGCTGTCCTGCATACAAAATACTTCCCTCTGGTTCACCCACAGAAAGAAAAAAAAAAAAAAGCTGATATAGTGAAAAACAGGGAAAGATCACTGCTATAATTTACCCCTTGTCCAGAGACAAGTAGTCTTTATTAGTATTCAACTTATTTTCGAGGATATTTTATTAAGATGTGTGTTTTCTTTTGGACTCTAATACCTTAGGGGATAATAAAAGTAACTACTTCAAGTCCTACTGCTTTATTACTTTTTCTTCAATTTTCTTTACTAAACTCATTACTAAATGCAAAATTCCACTAAATTTTAAGATTATTAAAATGTAAGGGTGCTTTCAAGCTATTTTATCATCAATTCATTGTTTTGGTAAAAATGATCACCTCAATGTAGTGAAGAAGGACAAGCATTTTCTCTTTTAACCTCCAATCTAAAATATCTATTAAAAAATGCTAAATATGAAATCAAGTATTATGTTTTTTTGTTTTCTTCTAAGTCTGAACATCAAGTTTTGGGATTTTTTTTTTTTTAAATAATTCATATTACTCACCCTCAAAAAAGCCCAGTAACCTGTTTTCTAATAGGTTTATGGAGTACTGGGCAAGCATGAAAAACCTGGCAGTATTTGAACTTGTCTCAAACAGTCATGAGCTTGACAGCAAAATTTCCAAGTGGAAACCCTTATTTATTGCCTTCATTCTGTGTGGCCTTGGCAGCCGCACAGCTCAGGAAGGTTTCATAAAGTAGAGCAATCAGAATATTTTTGGAATGTAGCTGATAGCATTATTAACAAGCTTACTAGGTCTGTTTTCTACACCCACTGCCAAATCAATTTGTAGTAGAGTCATGACTGTAACCAATTTCTTACAGTTAACAACTAATCCTGAATGAATCAGAACAACACAGCCCATTAAATTCCTAATTATACATATGTACATATATTTAAATAGGCCTAGATGTAGCCCATATTTTCACTGTATTGAAGTAGGGGGAAGACACTGAGTGATGCTTAGACTGTGCATGAGCCCTGCTCAGGTTTGCAGGATTAGTTTAAAAAGCTTGAAATGTTTATTCTTTTATGGCCTCTGATTTTCACATCTATTTTTATTAAATATGCAGCTCTGTCAAGCCTCTGACATGCAGCTCAGGTGGATATATTATAAAAATCAGAGGGTGAAATCAGGACTCCTTGGCTAACTGACTACTACAAATATGGGAACTGACTATTTTAGACATGTCCCTATTGCCTTACCTTACAGAAGATTGCTGACCTGGATAAACACCAGCACTGCATGCCAGAGAGCATCAGAGTTTACAACCAAAGCAGATAAAATAATATTTCTTATGGACAAAAATACTCTGAGTTGTAGTATTCTGATGGCAGTCTTAGAAGTGTTTCTTTTAGACTACAGCAAGAAAACACCAAACAAAAAACCAAAACTTCACTCTTTCCTCACACAAGTATCCAGCTTATGTTTACTTATTTTTGTATTTATATATATCCCATTCTTCTTGTTTCTGTAATAAAACTTTAATAGCCAATAAATTATAAATCAGATTTATGTATAATTTATTATTTTAAATACATATTTTATCTTCAAGCTTTTTAAAGGGGAAACTATTTCATCTTTTTTTCCTTTAAGGCCTCAGTAGTTTGAAATATTCATGAATAAAGCATGCTTCAAGCTGCATTTACATTTTTATAGCATGTGCTGTAACAGTATAGATTTTGTTTTTTACTTGCACACTTTTAGGTCAACTCGATTGTCTTAGGAACAACCTCACAGAAATCTCTGGGATTTCATAAACATATGAAATATTTTTTGTTATTTCCTAACACCTTGGACAGTTCCCTAATGTGCTCACCCCTTCTTTGGTCAGAAAGTTGTAATGCTTTGTAGATGTACAAACACATCCATGCTGGTACCTCTCAGATATTTCTTTACTTATTTCTCTCTCAGAGCCAGGAAGGATTTAGCTCTTTTGAAGCAGACAAGTCTTAATTCTACTACAGAGTAATTCAGAGCTCTTCTGGAGATGAATTAGTTTATCGAGTAGTTTTAGTGAATTCCTACAGTTAAAAGGCCACATTATGGTTTCAGTTGTTACACAATGAAAGGCACCTCTTTATTTTAGACCTATATCGACCTACACCAATGCATTTTGGATTAGAATTTGATTAGTTTTGTCTTGCATCTGCCACACATCTCTCAGAGCAAAATGCAGGTGGTCTATTGAAATTAATCTGCTCTGTGAAATATACCATATAACTTTTTGGGTTTTTTAATTTTCAATAAAGACAAAGCCCTACAGGCACTGGTTTGATTCAAATCCCTTTTAACTTTCCTAAAAGCATGGTGCCATCCAGCTTACTCTGGAACTCAGCTATGGCTTTGTGTCAGGACTGAAGATTTCCCTGCATGTAATTTCATTTTATAAACAATCTTTTTTTTAATGGACTTTTTCCCCAAATTTTGAAGTATTTGCACAATATAAAAAGGATACTAAAAATATGCATTTATGGAGAATTTAGCTTGTAATACAGAGAGACAGACAAAGATGAGGCAATAACTTACTATTAATAACAAGTAATACACAACCTTTGTACTGATATTTTTTGCCAGAACTCTATAAGGAGGCAAGATTTTATCCTCCTTTAAGAAATTGCATATACCTAATAAAAGACCAGAACTTTTGAGAACAGAAAATGCATAAAGAATGAATGGATTACATTGCAAGAACAGAAAAAAATTTGAAGATAGTCTCAAGTTGTTTTGCAATTCTCCCACAAAATTAGGTCTCTCTCTAGTGCCATAATGTCTTGCAAAAAGTCATATAAAAAGATATTTTTTAAACTTTCTTTTTCCTACAGAAAAGCTTATGCATGTTCATTTAACCATTGTTAAAATAATGCATGTTTTCTCATATTTGTTAACTGAAGCATCAAATTACTAGCACAATTCATTTTTGATGAGTCACTGCACACTGTGTGAAGTGGCAAACATCAAAATATTCTCAGAACTAAAATTACAATTTGCATTCTCAGGGCAAGTGTTCTGCAGCTAATTCTTATCATGGATGCTGAAAAAACCCCTGCACCAAGCTCCCTGCAGCTCAGGCAAACTATTCACATCTTTGAAACATCTTCAGTCAGCCAAAAGTGTCTGGCATGCATCTGCAGTCTGTTTGCACAAGGAGGATTCAAAACAAGCTCTGACTGAAATCCCATGGCTAAATAACAGAGTTCATTTGTTGCAAGCTCTTTGGAAAAGGTGCAGTGATTAAAGGCAAAGCTGTGCTGGTATGTTGTGGCATACAGAACTTTCAAGATTCACAATGGGTGACAGATTTTGGTACTGGGGCTATTTTCTGTACAAGCTCTGGTTCAGGAATCAACTACTTCATTTCTTGCACTGCACCAACTTTGGAATTTACCACACTGAGTTTTTTTCTTGGTTATGGCAGGTTTCTGCTTTAACCTTCCCTTCCCTTTTATGACAAAAGTACTGTCTAGTGGGAACAGAGCTCTCAAGAAGATCATCTGTATCCTCCAACTCATTCTTCTTTACTGACTTCTCCCTGAAGTCAGAAATGAGATCTGTCATTTCTCCCCTTTTCTCATCACTTTTCTTTCCTTCAGACTATTCTTCACAGTGAGTGAAAAGAAAGCAGAAAAGTTCAGAAAGAATGCAACTTCTGAAAAGAAAAGTAGGTTGGAGTAGGATTTGCTCATTATTGAATTATCCAGAGGACTCAAATATTCCTAAACACTAAAGGTCATCACAGCTGTAGGGCGACAAATCCAGCTTTGCACAGCCAGCCAAAACAGACTGTGGTGGTTTCCTTTTCAGCCTTGTCACCTGCAAGAGAAAATTATTCCCTTTATTTTGCTAGACAGATAGCAGGCAAACAGCACATACCATTGCTGACTGAACTGCAAAAGCAAAACTGACAAATCCTGGAGGAGGAAACTGTTATTATAAAGCCAGGCATGACTGCTAATGCTACCTTGACTTCCTCAGCTTATACCTGCTGCTGCTCAACAGCCCCCGAGACCCAAGTGACATTACTCTGGATACTAAGACAAGCCAAAAAAGTGACTTATAATTTTATCATAAAATAGTAAAATAAAAAAGAGACTCCTGCAGAAGACTCACCATCATTGCAGGTTTTGTGCCGCGATAAAAAAGCAGAGAAAGGAGACTGCGTTAAAACTCAAGATGCTTCTTGCAAGTAACAACAACACTATTCATGACAGCTAAATGAAGAAAGAAAAACTTGACAGAAATTTCAGGGCTGAAAAATCAAAAATTAGATATAGCAGTGGTCCCTGGCATCTCATCTTCCCCTTTCTAGTTTGTCATGAAAATAATAGCTATTATTGAAACAAATATTCTTACTCTCTCCACAGGAATGAAAGAAAATCTGGAAACAAAAATTCTTTTCCAATTCTATTTAAAGCACTGCAAAAATGCCACTAATTCTAAAGGGCAGTTTGTAGATTTAATCTATGTATAAATAAATAAATATATACATAGCCATTCACACATATACAAGAACATTGATGCAGATATCCATAAAGCAAAAGAATCCATTACAGCAGTCCCATTTTCAAAACAGAAAGATTGCTTTAAGATCTCTGGACAATTTAAGGAAAAAAAAAAAAAAGAAACTACGTTATAGTTTGTGTTTTTAACTTTTTTTTTTTTTTTTTTTTTTTTTTTGTCACAGAGTGATTTTAAGGAAGAGCAAACACTTTTCCAAAGTTTAAGAGTATGTTTGTACAAGCATCCTAAATTTCTAATGCTCTGCTTGGTCTGGTTTTAGATTAAAAATCCAAGCTGGCCTTGTAACTGTAACTTGCAATATATCACTGTGAAAGAGAAACATAAAAAGCACAGCCATGCAAGTTAAGATTGGCATGTTTAGACTTCCTCTTGATCTCAAGGGTTCGAGGAACAGACCTGAAGCATTAATATTCTGTCTGTGAATCTGCAAAGCTCAGTTTTTGCTGAATTCACAAAATTAACCCAGTAACTTTACAGAAGAGTTTGATATAGCTTGAAGTCCTTGTAGCTGTGTGAGTTTTCACCAGTAGAGGAGGTGCTGCTCAGTTCACAGGAGCTCAAACTGAACTGCTTTTTTATGATTTGCAAATTAAAAAAAAATTTAAAAAAGAGAAGCTGAAGTTTCACGAAGTGTAATATTCAAACTCTACAAGCATAACATTTGGAACAGAAATGTTGAAAATGGTATAAAATCAATCTGTTTCTGCAAAACACATACTAAAGTAAAAACTGTCTTCTCTCACTCAATCTCACCAAGCCAGTTGCTGTAAATTTGTATCAAAAATTCCAAATTAAAATAAACTTAGTAAGCACAGAGTAATTTTACTGTTTCTCTACCTTTCTGATAATTTTAATGATGTTACCTATAGATACTAAAGTGTTAGAGTGACTCTTGTACCTGTATCTTTACATACAGTTTAAATGAAATGCATTTATACATTCTTTTTCTATACCATGCCATAAGAAAATTAGAGAATTATTTTATAACTAGAATGCTGCTTTTAGACTGTTTTTGTCTTAACACCCTTACTCAATGAAAATATTTTCTGAGTAAAATTCAAGGGTGTCTATTGTATACTTGGTTAAATTGAGAAATTATGAACAGTATAAAAAAAAACCATCTGTCTTCAAAATAATGCAAAACACAAGGGCCTCATTCTCACCCAGTTATTTCTGGCTTGCAAAATCTGGCAAAAAAAAAAAAAGAAGGATCTGTCAAATGAAAATTGGTTGCTGTAAGTGAACTGAGAAGTTTATTTTGTGTTCTTAGTTTTTCCAATCTCTAAACTCTTCTGTGTACTGGAACTTTATTTGGTAACAGAGATATTTTGACCTTTTGGTGTTTTTTTGTTTGTTTGGGGTTTTTTTTTTGTTTGGCTTTGGTGGTTTTGTTTGGATCCTTCTGGATTTTTTTTTTTTTAAATTGTGCTTCAAGAAGGAGAGCCAGAGGGCTTTCACACACATTTACTGCATTTCTGTTTTTAGAAGAAACTGGCTACTCTCCCCTGTCAGTCTGTCTCAGTACTACTATCATCAAATAAAAAATATGATGATTTATAAAGACTGAAAGTATTAATAAGACAGAAGTTGGAACCTTGAAAGGTTACACGAATGTAGGGATGAAGAAGCAAGTTTGCAGGAGATCTTTCTGCCTTCATTCTTTTTCTTAACTGAGAGTCAATTTTTTAACAGGGATAAAAAGGATTGAAAGGATTGAAAAAATTTTGTGGCAGGAAGAAAGAATTCTATGTATAAATTTTATGCCATCATTTTGTGATTAGTGTAGTGGTTACAGCTGTTATTCTGATTATCAAATTATTCATCTAAAAATTCAGATAGAAAATGACACTACTTATCTACTGTTTACTACAGTTTTCTGTCCATGACATTTCTTATAAATTATATTACCTGGAGTTTTTTTTAATTGATATTCACCGTGGCTGTAGTAATGCCTTACCACATTAAAAATAAAAGTGAGCTCAGACTCACAAAGGCAAATAAGAAGGCTCCTGATGATTGTAATTAAACAAGTTCATTTCTTCCAGGATTCACTCAGGCTGTCTTGGCCGTCCAGTAATTCCTGATTTCCATTTTCAATTACTGTAAAAAAAGCCTAATAATTTCTGTGAAGTAAAAGTAGTCATTTGCACTAGCAATAGTATTGCTTGACTACACCCTGAGGAAGTAATCTCTCCAACAGCCAGCCTCAAAATCTTCAGAAGCAGATTAGACTCCCAAAAAGTCATTACACTTATAAATAAATTCTAAAAAATAAACCGACATGCATTAAAAAAAAAAAAAAAACCAAACCAAAAAACCAAAATAATCTTCATATCTCAACATAAAAATTCTTTCCATGCCAATGAGGATTTGCAGAACAGAATATTCAGCAAATCTATGATGGGGACCAAAATACATTTAGTCTAGGACTTCAGAAGAAACAAAAGAATAAATTATTTATGTTTTTATAAATTTTAAAGCACAGAAAGTATTAAGTATTGTCAGAATGAAGGCACAATTTCTCACAACTAGATACCACTGGGGAAACTCTCCTGTTGGAACATCCAGAAGCCACTCTGGCAGCCACATCCTCACCACCTGAGATGGGACAGAGGCCACACAGCTGCACTCACAATGTCAGACCAGATTTCCTCACCAGCTTGACACCAGGTGTCCTATAGCAGAGTCTCAGACATCCAGAGCCTTAATTTAATATTGGTGCAATAAATAAATAAATTACTAAATAAATAAATAAAGAAATAAATAAATAACAGCCTGAATTATTGCCTCCAAGGAGAACCAATAACAAAGGGACCATTGGGCATTTCTAAGCATGGGAAAATCTGGAATCATCTGTTCCTGCTGTGTGTCTCAGTGTCCCTCACCTGGCTGTGCCACAAATCCCTGTGTCCTCTGCTGTGCAAAGGGTCAGCAGCAGTTCACAGCCTCTTGTCTCAACCTGCAGCTGCATCCTGAGCACAGGATGTGTTCCTCAACTCTCAGTTCCTTCCTCAGACATATCCACCAGTTTCCAAACCAATAAGAATGCCTCTAAAACAAAGGCAAGCAGGTGCCTGCAAGAGAACTAAATGATCAGAATACTTGCCAGGACCTGGCCTGAACAAGTAAACATCTCCTTGTTCCCATTCCCAGGAGGATCTGATACCCTGGTGGTGCCTTGAGGGTTCCAGGCTGTGCCTGACCCCCATTAATATCCCCAGTCCAAGCTGTCCTTGCTTGTGGCTGAGGGAATGGTTTGGTCAGGAAGGGAGGGCACTGCACTGCCCCATGGCCCTCCAGACCTCACCAGGCCACCCCCAGACAGAATGTGCCCTGTAAGGTGGTTCTGGAGGAGAGACTGGTGTCAGAGCCCTGGTCACACAGGCCCAGAGCTGAGCAAAGGCCAGGACATGAACCATACTCAACAGGATCTGCCGTTCTCTGCATGAACCATACTGAACAGGATTTACCAGTCTCTGTGCTGACAGTCAGCTGTGGTCAGGACCTCGGGTCACAACACGATGTGGCTTAACCACATTCGGGCTGGAAGGAGGCCTGGCAGAGTGAAGCTGGATGTAATAGCAGTCAATAGCATTAAACACGGCACAGAGGTCTGCCTGAAGAACTATGGATGTAATTGACTGTCTTATCCAAGAATAGATGAAAGTAATTCAGCAAAACAACAAGTTTTGCTTCAGTGTTATGCCCCAGGTTGCCAGCAGGTCCTGGTGGCTGCCTCAATAGCTTCTAATCATGAAATACAATAAGTGAAGTAGAGCAGCAACAAGGAAAAAAACCAACAAAAACCAAACCACTCACACCAAGGCACTTACCTTTCCGAGGAATGAATTGAGAATAAAGAACAGAAAGAGTTAGACTCCAGTTTTTATTTTCAGTCAAATGCTTTTATGTTTACCTTGAATAAACCCTTTCTTGCTAGATTTGAGTGCTGGGGAGAGTGAAGTCAATCTTGGAAACTGAAGTCTTTTATGTACACACCGTGGGATAAAAAAACTACTGCTGGGTGGGTGAACTGAAGCTGTACCGGCCCATTGAGGACAAGATTAGGAATCTGAAATCAAAATACTTTTTCATAATTCTCTATTTGCCCTCTATTCTTTTGCATGGTTGTTAGAACTTTAAAAATATGAGAATAAGTTTAGTATAATTTATCAAGCATATGATTACTAGCTTAATTCTAGAACTTATTTCTAAATTTATCGTATGTCTGTGCCAACTTTGTTTTGGTGCTGACATACAGTGATACATATTCTGTGTCATTACTGGGACACTGGAGTGGTGAGACTCCCTGTCACATCATCTAATTCTGGGCCTGGAGGAGTCCATATGAAATGGATAAGGAGTGGAGTGATGCCAACAAAATTCACTTATCTATGACATAAACAAAATGCAAAATCAGTGCTATATGTAATCTTTAGAGAATTGCTTCTGTTGTGGTAAAAGCATGATGGTATATAATAAATTATATTGATTTATGGTTCAAGATAGTTCAAAGAGCTGTTTCTTTTGTACTTTTGAACTCTGCTATGAGTAGGGATTAAGTAGCAGGAATTAGTTAAAAATAATTTCAGACAACATCTTGGAGGTTTTCTGAATATAATGGTCTTTATAGAAGACAGGCTTGACACAGCGGCCAAATTTGCAAGCTGTGAATAATGTTCACCATCAGTGTTTCAGAATGAGTGGTGATCTGTTTATCTATGGGCAACTAATCAACAGTTTGCAAAGTAAAAATGTCCTTCTCAAGTTACATACTTTTCTCCCTTTTCTGGCTAACCTTTTTTTTTTTTTTTTTTTTTGCTATGGTAATTCATTTCTACTCTAAAGGACCACAAAATACCGCTTTAGGTGAACAACTCAATTCACCTAGGCCCTGACTTAGAGCAGGCCATCCGTGACAACCCTAATAAATTGTGCATGAAATTGATTTAATCTATATTCAAGACATAATTTGTCCTGCAGAATGTTGTGTGTGCAGTTCACTCATGATTTTATTTCATTTGCTGTTTTGTGGCTTGAATTGCTGTATATTTACGAAAATAATTTCTGTTTTCCTGTCAGAAAAAAAACCAAAACAAAACAAAATAACACTCAATTTCTTCTGAGATTGTTTTCCTGATCATTTTTACTGAGGGCAGCATAAATAGTTGAACTGAGAGGTCTTTGATAATTCTTTTCATACCAACCACTCTATCACCTGAAGCCTTCCACTTACAGTTTTGCTCCATCCACAGAACATACCCAGAAGGGCACTCAGTTGGTCTCAAATGAAATTCACTATTGGCAACAAGAATTTCCCTAATAGCTGTAGTTGGTGCTAGTTCTGGACTTCTTTGCCACTGTATACTTGGTATAGAACTCAAATAAGAAAAATAAAAATAACACGAGAGAGGAGAACATCTAAGGATTTTATACTCTTCTAATCCTGAAATTTAAAATATTTAAAATGCAAACACACACACATATATATTTTTTTTTTCTTTTAAAACCTCTGCAAGTGAGTTTTGCTACCATGGACAGAAGGGAATCCATATATTTGACTGAAGAAGCTGCAAACCAATATACAACAGAAATCAGAAAATAGATCAAATCAGAAGTTCTATAAAACTCAAGATAAATGTTAAAAAATCCTTAATTTGACTTGACACCACATAGACAATATGCTAATAAAGAAAAAGTAACTTCCACCATAGGAAGTAATGAATAAAATTGCAAAGCTTTTGCCACAGAGGAAATCAGACTAGCTGGTAACAACTCCTGACCATTCGTCCAAGTACTTATTTTTTTTAAGAGTAAAGTGAAATTTCAATGGGATATATTTTCTTTTTGAAGCCAAATTTTTAAAACACCTTGTATATCGTGGCATAGATATGTTCCACACAACATACCTATTTCAAAATATTTGTGAGAGATCCTCTTCTAAAGCCTCATAGATCCTCACAGCTGTTATCTGCAGACATTAAAGGACAGATCATATATTTAAGGAATCTAGGAAACCTGACACAACTGCTAACATGCCTATTTAACATACCAAGGCACACAGGTTAAATTAATTCCCAGTTTGGTTGCATTCCATATACTTCAGAGCAGTTATCATGGAAACATCAATAGATAAATAAAAGATTATTAGTTCGGTGCTTTTGTAATCAAAAGCCTTGCTCAAATCTACTTTGATATTTAGCCAAAGGAGATAAATTAATGCAAAATATGTATATCAAATGAAGACTTATATTTGATTCCTAAATTTTTATTTAAGAAATCCTTTTGTAAATGTACTATTTTATTGAGAACTATTTGCTTAAATAAATCTAATAACTTCAAAATTTCTCCCATTTGCTAAATGAAGCCAAAGTAATATAGGAAAATAGGAAGAGAGCGTAAGACTTTATTGTTACTCGTTTGGATTTCCCCTTTTTTTCTTTAATGCCGTTTAATGTGTGTATTAAGCACATGTATCAGCACACACATACATTATAAGTATACACATAAGCACTGAAAAAAAGAATGCTGAACCTTTTTGTTAACCAGAAGACTTTGTTTTCCCACGTTATTTGTTTCAGGTTATGGAGGTAGGATACAAATATGATATATCCCAACTTTTTAATTGGGTTTAAATAAAGATACCATGCTGAGCTATTTATTCCCTACATCCCACCAGCAGGTATGCCCAGGTACTTCCCAGGAAGCTGGGCTTTGGAAACTGTGGTGGTTCCTCTGGAAGACAAATGTCATAATAATGAACAGCAGCACCAAACATTCGTGTATTACCAACACCTTTCCAGCTGCCAAAGCAAAGCACAGCACCATGAGTGCTGCTATGGGAAGAATTAACTCCATCCCAGCCAGAACCAACACTGGTTGAAATATACTTTCTCCTCTGAAATATATGGTCAGGTTCAGTGCTTTCAATTTGAAGCAAAAAGCTTCTCAAAGCTTTCATAAAGCTGCTAGCAGAGCTGAGTTGAAAATGGTGCTTACTTACTTGTGTTGGCACCTGTCTGCAGCTGAAACTTGGAACATGATAAATCCCTGAAGCTTGCACGAGCAGGAAAAAAAAAAGAGAAAAAAGAAAAAAAGCCTTAAGCAGGGGAAAGTGAGGAGACAAAGTGACAGGCAGAGCAAGGGAGTTCTGAAGACACACATTAAATATTATCTGATATATATTTGCAAATTATTCTCATGAGTTCATCCATGTGGCAAATGCTGATGTACTGCCTTTAAAGTTCCTCATGAATGCATTTTTTAATCTAAAGTAAAATCTCATACCAGTAAAGCTCTTATTTAGAGCATGAGAAAGTTTCTCTTTGTTCTAAAATAAAACTTAGCCTTCCCCAAGAAACATTACCTCAAGAAATATTCATTTGTAAGAGACAGTTCAGAAGCTGCTACGGAGCTTTCTGGCTGTTTCAAGGTTGTGACAGTGCTCAGATATTGCAATGATTCTGTATTGTATTCCAACAGCTGAATGTGTTCCTTACCCTGCATGAAAGGTAGAGCTGCTATTCAAGGTGCAATATCTTCTTCTGCTGACATAAATAAATTAAATCTTACAGTATATGTCTATTTCTCCAGCTTTCCTTCAGACTACTTTTATTCCAAACACAATGAGGCAGACTTCAAGCACTGAAGGTGAGAATGCTGCTTCAGGTCACGAGAGGTGCATGTATCTCGCAGACCCACTAGCATTACAGTGTGTGTCAGCACACACTCTTTTGGCTCCCTGTGTTTGATGCTCTTTTTTTGTTGCTAAAATATCTACTGTCTGGTAAGCTTACAATTCTGGAAGGGTGCTGTTTGCAGGTTTTTTTATTTGAATTTTTCTTCTGTCTTGATGTTTATGTTTCAGCCCTTTCATGCCTCAGTATGATGCCCCCTTTTTTTTCCCTGAGTTTTCATGCCTGTATACTTTGAGAGCATTAGGTTTAATTTTTTGCTTCCATTCGTTCTATTTTAGTGTGAGTGCTTCTCACTTCCCACACACTTTCAATTTGTATTGATTGTGCTCTTTTTGTTACCCACATTTCTACCATCCCAAAGCATTTTTCCCCCTTTCTATCACTCATCAGCAAAACAAAACTGTAGCTTTCAGACCAAATTAATGAGCACACCAAATAATACAGGTGAGAGAAACTTATGCTACATTACATCAGTTCCCTTGAAAATAGAAACTCATAAAAAGTTTAAGGGAAATTATGGGTTAGGGAAAAGATTCAGCATAACATAATATGGTCCTTGATCGTTTCCTTATCAGTAGCTATGACAGACATATTTTAAAACATTTTTAAAGCCTGCAAAATAACCAAGACTGAATTGTTTTGCAAGCTGGAATAATTTCACTTCTGGGAGTGCTGAAACAACCAATATTTCTATCTTCCTCCTCCATAAAACAATCTGTTGCAGACTTTCCCCAGTTCATCAACATCTTCCTAGGAGGGTATCTCTAAAAAGACATATTGAAAGCTTTTCCCTGAGTTTTCTGTTGAGCAGGTGGGCTGTGGGATGGTTTTTGTTTTGTAGATATATTTTGGATTGTTTGCAAAAGCTGTTTGTTACCATGCCATCTGATGGACAATTTCTCAATGTGCCGTCATGACTACAGCATCTGCTCTCACCACAATGTTTCTTCTAATGTGAATCGGCCTAGGAGAAATTCATCACTGCAATGTATAATTCATGTTAATAAAAAGGATTGCAAAGCATCTCAAAAGATAAAATGGTGATATTGTCTGCAAAAAGGCCCTTTTATAGCTCACTACTCATATTTATCACTCTGTTTCCTGATATATCTTTTCCCTAAAGAAATCAGCATGTGTCAGTCCTCCATATCTCAGATTAAAACAATTAATAGAAATTATGTCTGCTCCCTGTGTTGCCACGTTCTGACAGAGATTCTTCAGGACTTGTTCACCTTCAGTTGGTGTAGCAGGATAGCTTAAGTGTGGTAAACTCACCTTTAAATGCTTGTATTTATGGCACACGTGTATTAATGCATTACCATTGACTGCCAAAAATTGTTCTGCAGGTGACCACCTGGGATATCAGAGCCAGACAACAGCAACACAAAACTTCAGCATTTCTTAGATTCTTACTCCTAGTGATTTTTATTTTTTTTCAGGGGGACATTACAGATATTTTAATATCTGACAGCCTTCTAATATTTTGCCTGGGGGAGAGAGGAATAATTTACAGAATTACGTAGGTTTTGAAATGATCTAGTTCAGAAATCCTTTTGCTCAAGTAGGGTCAGATAGATGAGGGTGTCCAGGATAACATGCAGCTGAGTTTTGAATACCCTCAAGGATGGAGACTCCACCACCTCTCTAGGCAACTGTTTGACCAACCTCCCAGTTGAAGTTTTTCTGTGCTCAGATGGAATTCCATGCATATTAAATTGTATCCATTGACTCTTGCTCTGTCACTGGGAGACTGTGGGAAAAGAATCTCTCTCTCGTATTAATTCACTCCTGTCAGATATTAACTACATTGCTAAGATCCCTCTGAGTGTTCTCCAGACTAAAGAATCTCAGGTCTCTCTTTCTCCTTAGAATTCCAACAGACTATTGGCCTTTCTAAAACAATTATGTCTGAAATTTGTTAGCAGCCCAAACAATTTTTCCCTCTACTACAAAAAAAAAAAAAAATCCTCAGATATAGACCAATGAGTTTAAAGCATTCAAATCCAAATTTATAGCTATATATATAACCTTAAGAAAGATATTCACAGTTAATAACATTTCTTTCCGTGTTACTAAATAAAGGGCAAAGTACTAAAAGAAGTCCATATCATTACACACTGAACGACTGTGAAGTTTTAAGAGTGCTTTAACAATCAGCTTTGAATGAATTTTAGGTCCTAAGTTCTGGATCAACCTCCTGTAAGCAACTCTGTGCTCAGATAGAGCTTATGCAATCTTCTGAAGCTGCTTTCAAAACCAGACTCACCATCCTTAAGAGACTGACACTTGTAAATGCCACCTCAGGCACCACTGGAGAGAGCTTTGCAGAGCATGAGGTGTCCTGTGCACCCAACAGGGCAGCAAAATATGCCACAAGGCTGTCAGAACCTCAATTCACGGCAAGTTGAGTATAAATAACTACATAAGACATTAGGGATCTCCTCAGATTCCACATGAGGGAAAAGAAACCCTTTGTGCCCTCACATGTGAAGAAACAAAGCACAGTCTTGACAACTATTAAGATTTGATCATGAGTCTCAAAGTGTCTGATTTTCTTAAAAGCCTCAAGTCTCTGAAACAGGTATTTTATGAGTGTTTCCCTTCCCTCTCTTTATGTATGTATATATAAACCTATAAAAGTATATATATGTACAGATATATAGAGTCACATATATGCAAATACATATATGCACACATGCACATACACGCATATATGTGTGTGTGTAGATATACTTATACAATGTATATATATTTTTATATAGTGTATATATATATATATATATGTATATGTATGCATTCTTCTAATCCCCATAGGTAAGGAAGCAAGTTTGGAAATTCATGACTCAAGGTCAGACTTGCAGCCCAAAACCAGAGCCAAAAAAAAAAAAAAAAAAAAAAAGAAAAAAAAAAAAAAATCTGAGGTAAGCTGCTTATTGCTATTTTTAAGTTTGCTGTTCTGGCACTTCTTCTGAGCTTTTTGAATGTTTGGGCTTGACAATACTGAAAAACCTTCACCCTTTTTCTGTCACCACAGGATCCAATACGCTTTGCAATTTGGAACTTGAACTAGGGAAAATGTTAATTAATAATGGTGCCCTCAGTTCTTAGCTCACTCTCAGCATATTGTGACACATTGCAGTTCATGTGCCCTTGTTTAAGCAGATTTACAGATTGTATTATCTTGCTTTAACTAAACCAACTCTCACAAAAGGGACACATTTCTCACAATGAAAATAATGTTAATGTGATGACAAGCAACCAACAAGAAAATGGCAGACATGACATTTCTCCTACTCCTAGTAGCTGTCAAAATTTTTCTCAGTCATTCTATAAGGCAACAATGATAACCGAATCAGATATAATCAAAAAAGTCTGAAGTCATGTGATATTTAACCCTGTACTTCCCTAAATTTAATAATAAATGGTCAGAGGTCTCTTCTTAAGAGCAAAAGGCAAAAATCTTCCATGGTGGAAATGGCTGAAATAGACAGAAAACAATATGGCAACAAACTATAAACCATTCCTTTTTTTTTTTTCCCAAATATACTGGTGAAACATGCTGCAAAATATTGCTGAATTTTTAAATTGGTTTGCTATACAATTGGCTGAAAGTGCACATGTTTCCAAGACATATCAGTTTATGGTATTTCCTAGATTCTGTTTCAGTACTGAAGTACATAAGAGCCATTGCTTTGTGAGCCACTAAAGGAAAGAAATACCAGAGAAAAAAAATATTCTCAATGGTAACTTCTTTAACAAAAATAATGTTTTATAATAAAACTTTGCAAGTGATGGAATGGCTGCTTTTACTGGAATAAAAAAAGGTTCCCAGAGTAAAGTTACAGAGAGAGCACAACCCATAGAATTCATTCACCACATAATTTATAGAGAAACTGCTGCAGCAAGAAAACAGCAGACAGAAATGCACAAAATTCTACAGTATGCCATCAGCGTAGTGAATTTTAGAAATATATTTAAGTAGTAGAATCTTTACAGTGTTTGTATCGAGATGGGGAGCGACCATGAAAAATCTTTTGTATCACTCAGTGGTTTCTTGGTCATCTCACGTCAAAGTGCTTAAAAGAGTTGTCAAAATTAAAGATAAGTTTTTCATTTTTTCTCCTGAAAAGGACAAATGTTCTGTATTTGCTGAGCTTTTCTGTGTTGACAAGTGGTTGTCAGCAGGTTGCTACATAGCAAATATTAAAAAAAAATAAACAGACTTAATGTGTACCTTCAAGCTAAAGGTGATGTCTTAACAATGAGTGAAAATGTAACTGTTTTTCCAAAGAACTTCATCCTATGGAGAGAGCATTTTGACAAGTGAGGTTTGGAAATTATTTCATTGTTAAGAGATTTTATTTCTGAAAAGAATGTGTCACTTATGAAAATTCTCACATTTGTATACATAAAAAAACCTGAAAACAAAATTTTCTACATGTTCAAAATGTCTCCAAAAGTGTCAATCGGTTTTGAAGCCATTTGTTAAAAATATAAAAATGCATTACCTTTCAATTAAATTGCAAGGAAAACTGAATCACATTGGAGTGGATAAACATTTACTATCTGAAATTCTATAAAAAACTTGATTAATTCATGAATGGGATTGAAAAACGAGTGTCATTATTTAGCATGCATGGAAAAATGATGCATCCATGTATTTTTGAGCTATCTTTTCTCAGCTATGACAGTCATTTAGAAGTATCAAAATTTAGAAACAGAGCTTCAAATTGCTCCAGCAAGATGTTACACCAGAACTCAAAAAATAAATAAGCATAATAAATCATATTGTTTACAATACTGATTATTAAATATTTTTAAATTATATTTTTGCACTGTTAATAGATTTATTAATACATCCTTATTATTTAATTAATCTCTTTTAAACTTCTATTTTTGTGTTGTGTTTATAATATACAGAATTATAGAAATTAGATACATGTACAATATATAAATAACTAAGAATGCATACATATATATATGCAACCCAGGGTGTATGGTTAAAAATATTTTACTGATAGAGGTAGGTAAATGATCAAAAAAGTTGTGAGACCACTGCTATAGTCCTATAGTAGTACACCTCACCCCCAAATTATTTTACTCTCTACTTAGATTTTACTGTATATAGTGGCTGTTTTTCAATTATTTCCTGGCATATTCTTGGAGACTGAGCATTGGCAAAATCTTTACTCATAAGAATCAGAAAGGGAATTAGTGTTTTTAATATTTTAATTGTGTGATAGCTTTGCATCTTTTTGACCTTGACTTTTCACCCACCTTCCCTGCCAAAAATCCCAAACCAAACCTCAAAAACTACCATCCTCCTTTTCTCAAAAAGTGCCTTGAAAACTCCTGAGGAATGACTCAGTGATATTCAGCTTATGTATTTTCAGGTCTTGCCTGACGCAAAAGTAAAGTTCTATTTTGTCTTTATTTACAGTCCAAGTCATCACCTGGATTTTTTTTTAATGTGAAACCTTCAATACAAGGTAGCTCGACTGGCTACTTGTGTTTATGTTGCGTCTTCCAACTGAAAAGGTACTTTTATTTTTGTTGGGTTTGCTTGTTTGTTTTAAATTTGTTGGCATCTGAAGAGATGATACTTCTAAAACAATGCATTAAAGTGAGAGCATAGAGAACAAAATAAACTAAAACAGAGAGGAAAGCTGTGAAATATTTTAGGTGAGTAAAAATGACGATGAAATCATCTTGCCAAAAACAAGGGATGTTGCACAGAATGTCAAGAAATAAAAAGAACCTGGGCTATAAAAGAGGAACTTGTTAAGGAAATATTCCAAATTCCAAACCTCTGTAATACATTCTGTAAATAGACCAAGAACTATTAAGAAATTCTTTGTTACAGAGCATTATCAGCTTGCATATTCAAAAGATTTCTGCTATTACACATGGATAAGTTGTAATATATCAGAGCACTTCAGGGAAGAAAAACACAAAAAGGAGAGCCATTCAATATAGAAAAGATGATAAAATTAAAAAAAAAATAAAGAAGGGACATCTAATCACAGTGTTTCCTTTTCCTCAGGGTTCTCAGCTACAAAAGAAATAATTGACTTTTTTTCTCTTAGGTAAATCAGTATAAACTAACCATGATCCTCCACCTTTTCTTTTTTTCCCTGCTGTATTCTTCATTCAAGAAATTCAACTGATTCCACTTGTTCCACTGAGCTGTGGAACTTGGCCTGTAAATTACAGAGAGAGTAGTCAGTGAAATGTCAAGTTAATCAGTTTGTTTTTTAATCTTGCTTATAATATGTGGTTTTAACCAGACATGCAAAAGCACTTTACCACAAAGTTGGGAAAACCACTAAGGAAAAAAAAACTGGGTTTTCTTGCTCCTTTTGTAAGGGAAAAAAAAAAAAAAAAACAAACCCAGTCAATCAACTTTTTTCATATTTGGGAATCCACTTTGTCACTTTTGGGGAGTAAAAGGCTAAAGGGTCAATATAAAGCAGGTTAGATGCTCTGGCAATCAGCTGCTGAGGATGTAAATCCTGCTGGGCATTACCAAGAACAGAAAATATTGCAATGAGGGAAAAAAAGCTGGAGCACAGCCCCAAACACTCAAGTTACAGCTGGCCCAGGAGGATTCAATCACCTCTGGGAAAAAGCAGCACCACTTCTCAGAGAGAATCCTTAATAGCAAACTGGAAACCTTGCAGCTGGAAAGACTAATTCAGGTATCTAATGGCCCAGGAATTTTCTTACAGAACATAGAATTGTCTTAGGGAGAACACAATGGTTGCCCTTTATAAATACGTATTTGGAGGAGGAGAATTCTGAGGACAAAACCCCCTGCATTCCCTAAAATTAACCAACAGCAAACTATACTGCACTACAAAAAAAACCAAATTAATAGATTTTTGTATTATTTGAAATTGAAACTGTATTGTCAGCTGAAGCTATATACTACAGAAAATACATAGCAATACTTCCTGATGCAACAGGAGGTTGCAGTAAAAAACTCAAATATTTTGAACTGAATGTCTTTTTGGTATTTGAAATGACATTTTATCCTGCTCCCCTAACACTCTGAGATCTAAATCACATCACTCATGAAGAGAAAACATTAGTTGAAAACATGTTGAACATTACCAAAAAATTCAAGTCAGATTTGACTTGCTTTATTGTCATTATTTATTCCAATATTGTTCAATTTTTTTAGATATTTACTTTGAAAAATAAACCTAGAAATGAGACTTTTTGAAATACTCCATCAAGTTAAAAAAGGCAAAAGATTTTACTGCCTTTATATGAAAGGAGGACATGAGAGAAGGAAAAAAAAGTGGTGTTTTTGTTCAAAGTTGAATTTACATCAGACACACAGCCAAGACATAGAGGTTTGAGATGCACATATTGTTCATTAACCTTCTCATTTCACCTTCAACTAAAACCACATTTTTCTTGACTATTTACATTTCTTTAGTGCTCTTGTCAAATTCTCTCTGCCCAAAATTCTGGGTAAAATAAACCATTTTTTTCCCCCACCTTCCAGATGAGAAGAGTTTTATGGACCCAGGTCCTTTTTATGCTATGTCTGATCTCTGAATGCACTGACACATCATTTCATATGTCTTTGATTTACATCCACAGAATATGTATCCTATTCTTGTACTACTGTTTTTTATCAATAGCATATTTTTGAAAATGTGGTGCTTTTTTTTTTAAGGATATTTTCCTTACTAGAAAAATAAAGTACTAAAAAACCACTGAGTAAAGGATTACTTTTATTTTTATGCTTTATAATCTGACACAACCTGAAAAACATTTCCTGTCACCATAAAAAGAAGTCATAGTACCATTTGCACATTCCTATCAGAACGTGTTATCAGAGTAAGCCTTTAAAAATTCTTTTTCCATTTTCCACATATCTGCTGATTTCTATTTCATGGTGTACCTAACTATACTATACATACACAGGATACAAAAAAATCTGTATTCTTTTTCAGATGCCAGAGTTAAAGCTACGGTTAAAGCAAGTTGAATTTTTTCTCCCTTAGGAAAGAAACCAGTAAATCAGAGATTGTTTCCCTGTTGTTAATAGCTCTGGGCATTCCAGTAGATTACCATCACACAAGAAACCTGACTATTTTAAAGTTATAAATTTCTTTATGCTGGTTTATTTTTTAATCCCTTGATAATAATTTTAAATTTAACAAAACAATCTGTGCTTTGGAAGAGGATATGCAGAAGATGACTGAAGGAAGAGAGGAAGGGACAATTTTCAGGGCTATTCTCCTTTACTACATTTTGAGTTAAATTACCAGACCACAGTTCTTCCTTTTGCTTTATGCAGAATACATAAAAACCTGCAATCATCAAGCAAATTCTGCATTATATACTAATTAGCTCTTCAAACCTTGCATCTAATGAAGGAAAATTTAACAAATTTTACTTAGGGGCAAGCTCCTTGTAGACCACCATATTGTGTAAAAGAACCTCTCCATGCATCTAAAAACCATGATAAATTTTTCAGTCTTTTAGGATGTTATGAAGTAATACAAAACAAATTTATTATTCCATTTATATGGAATTTATGTTATTCCATTCCATTTCATTCCAAGTGCTTTTCAAGTACTCTACAAAAACAAACTTGGTAGTTGCTTGGTTTCAGAAATGCCCAAGGCACCAAAGGATGTTTAGATGCTTAAATTGAAGAGAAAGCAACAAAAAATGACCACTCCTGTGTCTTGGATAACTTGTCTCACTCAGATCCCAGGCTTGATTAACAGATTCAGTTACGACTTAATGGTCATCAGCAAGTGATAAAAGATTTTGTAACCTTGGAAAACAAAGTTAAAATCCCAGATCTTTAAAAGTACTTTTGCATGTATTATTCTTTACTTGTTTTAAATTATTTACAATATTTTCAAGAGTAACCACTGGAGAAATATTCCCTTTCTTTCCCGCCCAGAATTCCTAGTCAAGAAATGTTTCATCTTATTTTGGGTTTTTTGTTTCTTTTTGTTTGTTTTTTTTTTTTCCCTTGTTTTGTTGGGGGTTTTTTGTTGTTGTTTTTGGGGGGTTTAACTTTTTTTCTTGTTTATATTTTTTTTTATTTCTGATCCCCTGTCCCCCTCACTTAGGGAATGGTGCCTGAGAAATCTGAGACATTTGAAGTTAGTTTTCATTATCTGGAAGACTGAAATAAAATAAATTATATAGTTACTTAAAAAACAAACAACATAAAAAAAATCCAAAAAACCCCAACTTTTTCCATCTGTCCATATGCTGGAATATGAATTCAGAAATGGGAAAAAATAGGTCTTTCAGAGAGAGAAGGGGGTATAAGTTCAGATAGTTAATGTAATCATGCTCTTACTTCACATGCAGCAACTCTGCTAAAGGTTGAACATGAAAAGTATTGTTCAGGAGAAGGATTAAGTCCTCCCAACACTGCTGTGAGCTGAATGAAACAATAATTACAGAAATGGATGATTTCAAAGAAGTATTGGCATTTCGTATTGCAGACCTGACAATTCAATCATCAACTACAGCAGACTGGGGAACACAACTAGAACTCTCAACTTTACTCAGAATTCAGCCTGATTCCATAATCCCAATTAAGTTTTGAAAGCTTTTGGAAAAAAATAAACTACCAATCATGATTAAAAAAAGAAGAATAAAAATACACCAAATCCCCTTAACACTAACAAGAAGAGACTTCAAAGGTAATTCCATGTGCCCTTTCCTGTGCAGGATAGACTGTTAATGGCAAAAAGAGTTACCCAATTGTGAGCCAGCAGGAATTAAGGTATCACTCAATTTACTTAGTAATATGTGAAAAACAGTAAAGAGAATAAGGAGAATTTCAAAAGGACTTTAAGGCTAAAAGAAATAGGAACCTACCTGATCATGATGAGTGCAAGAAGGGGAATTGACTGGAGATGATTGATGCTAATGACCCAAAAGTAAGTTGAAGAGACAAACAGCCCTGCCTGGAGACTACTGCCTAAATTACCTCAAGGAAATAATCAGCAACAGGAAAACAAAGGAATAATGATTAGATTAAATAACTGAATATGTTTTGTTCAAAGCTGGGGATTGGTGACAGAAATACAGAATGAAAAAGAGAATTTGATATTCATTAGAAGGATCCTCAGAAGATCCTAAAGCCACAACTGCCATGGGTTCAGCTGCTGTGCAAAAAAGAACTGTAATTTCCTGAGAGGAAGTACTGGAGAAACTTTTGTTTGAATGGAGATTTCTTTTCTTTTCTTTTTTTTTTTAATTACTATAGCTACTTCCATCATTTTTTATACATTTTCTTGAAATATTTGAATTAAGATAGATTTCAACTATTCTCTGGCATGATAACTAAGGCAAAAGTGAAATTAATCTGAACATCTTTGTGTGTGTTCTTGTGGAGAGAGAATATGACTCAGCACATTGTAGTGCTACCAGAGATGGAATAAGATTCCAAATATTCTATCCTAGGAAAAGTGAAAGAACATATCAGTCCTATGAAGCTTTGCACCTGAAGTACAGAAGAAGAAAAAAAATTATTGAAAATAGAGGAGAAGCAGACAATAGTAAAGAGAAAGCCATGGAGAGAATTTGAAAGAATAAAATGGAGGGGAACTATGAATATTTATATGGCACTGAGCCATTGTTGTTATTTCCTGAATCATGTGTTCTTTTGATGAATGCTTCTTATGACACAGGGCAACAAAAATTATTAAATTAACACTGGATTTCAATAGTGCAGCAGAGATAATTTCAAGCTGTGTGAGTTTACACTAGGTGAGATATACATTGCTTAATATACATATTCGTTTTTCTTAGACCTAATTAGCATTTGGATAATAAAATCATCTTTGCCTGGTTAACAGGAGGGCTGTGTTGTTATCCTGGTTTACTTCTGGAGTAATATATGCGTGCTTTATGGTGTTTTCCTAATGTTTAAAAACTAGGGGTGCACTTCCCCTTTATCCCTTGAGCAGCACTGCACAGACATAGAGCACTAATTGCAGCTTCTTCTGGCATAAACACAAAGTTACTCTTCTTTTCTTTGAAAGTTGCTTATGCAATTGGACAATTCCAAATTAGCCTTAGACCAGAAACAGGAAGCTCCTCTTAAGGCTCATTTAGCTGATGATGTTTCATCAATAGCAATTAAAAAAAAAATCTTGCAAATTGATTTTCTCTATTTTTCTTTGCTGTGGATTTGGTATCAAGCTCACTGAAGTCAGATTCCCACAATTTTCCAGTTAGCAGATGAGACAGGAAGAAGGAAGACACTTCTAATTCTCAATAAAGCAATTGTTTACTTTTCATGCAGTCTCACTGAAGCCACAGAAGCTATTCAAGACATAAACTCCCTCTGTTATTTTACTTCTTGCCTAAACATTGACTGTAATTTTGGTTTTCTGAAGTTAGTTATTGTGTCCATTTCAATTTCCCTCAATACAGAAATATTCTGAATGTACCTACTCAGGTTAAGATCCAGAATTATATGTTGCTATTGGATATTTCTAGGGGCTAAACTCTAGCTAAAAGCAGTAGCATTCATCTTGCTTGCCTGCAAAGCAACAGGAGAGCAAAAAGAAATATGCAAGTACTCTACCCATAATAGAACATGATTGCAGTGTAATTATATACAAGGAATTGTAAATATTAGTGGGTGTTATGTTAGTGAGCTTCAAAACCCATGCAGATTCATGAAGAGAGATTTTTTTTTTCTCCTCCCCTTTCATTTATCCACCTGTGGATTACTTACATTCCACTCAATA